AATTTTAATGCAGAACTTGCCAAATGATATACTATATATACATTTACTCGCACAATATATATTATTAATAATGTGAAAGCTCGAATAATGATAAGCACCTCTTAAGGCGTTGCTCAAGTGAATGTTAAAGCAGAAGACTTTCAGCAAACTGCAGAGCAACTAATTTAAGGGTATTTCGCCCCTTTAAACGATCAGAGTTTCGACCAACTTTCATCACCCTGCAGTTACCTTTATGATCTGCACAAAATGTTGTGTGCTTTCATCGCATTTGTTGGGGATATCTCCCCATAATCTGAAACTGGTTCGAGCTGTTTAGCGTTCGCATTGTTTGCCAGTGTGTCAGGCCATTAATTTCATTAAAATTGCATCAAAATTTATGGTAGAGTTGCGAGCAATTTGCTTGTAATCCATCAGCGTGTCGCATCGCGCTGCCAGCCCTAAAGCTCTTTTGTGTACTTTTCCGAACTGTCTCGAATATAAATTACAACGTGGCCCTTAACATGTTAATAAAATAAAATGCTACATGCAAAATACTGAACGGTCAACTATGGACTTGACGCGTATTCGGCGCAAATTCAATTAAAGCCAGCTCATACGATAAGTGGCAGTGGCCAAAAGCCACAAGCCACAAGCCCTAGATAAGCTGGGGCCATTATCAGGTAGGTCGGATCTGCGGCCAAGTGGCAGCTGCAACTGCTACTACAGCCTGAACTAGCCACAATGGAAGATTTTCTGTCAGACCTTTAATATTCATGCACGTGTGAGAAACGAGCTGAACGCATAACATAATAAGCAGGCGACTAGAAGGAGCCATTAAGAGTTGCGGTTCGCATTCGCAGCGGGATTAAAAGAGTCGACTTTACACTGCTCATAAAATTGCAACTTAATTGTTAATTAAAGGGCGCGCAGTATGTGTTTCCTCGTTTGTCCTGTACCAAGTCCTGCTTCTGCTCATGCTCTTGCTCCTGCCAGCCTGCGGCATGTCACGTCGCAGCGATGGCAGCTGCCTCTTGTGCAACGTCTATCAAAATAATGACACTGAGTTACATGAAAAAAATGATCAGCATACTGAATAGTTTTCAGCTTTCAAGTTCGACTCGCGTCTGAAGTGTGGAAATTATAATAAATTTTAACTTTGGGCACCGCAATTATGCAGACACCTTGCACTGACCATATATTGCCATATTGACAGCTTGATTGATGCCTGGCCTGCCCGATCCCGACATCTGTTTAGCATTTTTACGCCTAATCGCAAAACCGATCGAATCATTTTGCATAAGTTCAGCGATCACAAACTACGAACTACAAACGACCAACGGGTGGTCCCAGCCCCAGTCCAACTTCCAGCCCCAGTCCCAGTCCCAGCCCCAGCCCCAGTCTCGGTTAACCAACTGCCGTTGTTCATTGAATGCCATCGGAGACAATAAATTTCATAAATAGCTTATGCATAAAATGCCAAACCCGCCTCCCGTGCCCCACACCTTCATCAGCCGCCGCCCGCTGTGTTAATATTAATTGGACGACATAATTGCAGCGCTCCGCTGCCCATAATAATCGACCCAGCCGAAGATGAGGAAGAAGTTTGGCCACCACTCTTTATTGGCCAGTCGAAAACACGTTTCGGGGCAATCTTCATAAAGCAGCAGCGCTGACCAGAGGCCAACTCAACTCCGGTAGTTGGTAGTCGCCCGGCAATTGGAATTTGTGTAAATTTGGCAAACGTTGCATTGACGACACCAAGCTGGGCAGCCAACTGGACAGTTTACTGGGAGGAGAGCATGTTGTTCGCTTCCATACATAATTACCGGTTGCATTTTATATACACTGACTCGAAGGGTACAATATTTCTTGAGTCTTGCAGCAGTGAATACCTTTTATGGAACCACAAATCGTCGTTAACGATAATGCAAACTATGGAAACTATTCAATTTATTATATATATAAATACATATGGTATATAAAGTACGTGCCTATTACCAAGGGAAATTAGACAGTTGGTTGTTGACTTTGTATAAATTACTGATCTTTAAGTTGGAATCGTTTAGCTTCTTGACTTATTGCTGAATGAGCGCTGTTTTTTTTTCTTCAAATGTTTAGTAAGTATATTATTTAATTGCATTAGAGATATTTCTGAAATGTAATTCATATAAATAATATTATATTTTAATTAAAGAGCATTTTAGTTTCGGTGCAAAAAAAACAGATTCTAAATTTCTTTGTTTTTGGGGGGCATATGCAACGAGTACGACCAGGCGCAGCATGTGTGCAATTATTGGTGTGTGTCCCGGCTAATTTATTGTCTTTGGCGCTGCCCTAAATCCAAATGTAATACAATACACGCATTTATCATATTTAAGTACCGAGTCCAAAAACACATCCTGTATTTATGGCCTGCTAATATGCGGTTTTAGTTTAATGGGTGCAAGGATCGGGGCGCGAAGCAGTCTAAATACGAAGTCCAATGCTACTGAAAAGGGAAATTGACAAAGGGCTAAGCTGGGGAGCCCACCCTGGGACTGGTGACGGGCTGTCGAGTGCAGTCTGATGCGCCACAGGAGTCGAGGACGAGCCCCGGGAAAAGTACAGCCTGTAACAGTTGTAAATTAAAATGCCTGCGCTTCAAGTTGTTTGCTCATCATCAGCAGGACGCACGCCCCCGCGACAGCACATTATTTTCTTTGTAAATATTTATTTTGTGCTCTGTTTTTTTTTTCCCCTGAAATCAGTTAAATGGACTGTACTGTTTATTTTGTTTGGTGCGACAGTTTTACGCGCTGTCTCTTAATAAGCCCCATGAATAATGGGCTGAGGATTAGAGCCACGCCAACAACTGCTCATGTGGGCGGGTGGTTTGTGTAAATCTCATGTGTGTGCTGACCAAAATGGTGAGGCACATCAGCATACAATTGGCTACTGGCCACATATACAGGGAGTGGTAAAATGAGAGTATGCGACAGGGAATCGCCCGCCAGCCAGAAGCACATACAACTCAGAAGGAAAACAACTAAAGCTGAAAAACAAAAATGTTCGGAACAGAAGATGTTACAACTGCGGGCAAATGGGCAGCACAAACGCCACAAAAATTGCGCACAATTACGGGGCTAAAGCCCAGGCAACTCCTCCAGCTCTCCCCGCACTCATTCCAATCGCACCTTATCCGAGCGGAAAAGAATTATTACGTTGAATTTTCTTTCATTTTTTTTGTTCTTTTTAAAGTAGAAAGAGAAGAGATTTCTCGTTTTTTGATAGTAGCAGACCAAGTGTGCCGTAAGGAGCAGCCAGGACACGGCGTTGTCCACGTCTCACGTGCACATGACAGTGGAGTAAACAATTTCATTTCGCGCGGCCAGCTCAGCAGGACCGAAAGATAACTGCTACAAACGAGGCACAAGATGCTGCCTGCAATAACAACAGCAACAACAGCAAAAACAAGAACAATGACAACAGCAGCCAGGACAACAAGGACAGTACTTGAGTTTCCTTATATTTTTTTTTGGGGGCCAGCAAAAGCAATAACAACATCGCCAACCACCACAAAAGCATAAGAAGCTGCGTAAATATATTGTCCCGTCGGCCTTCGGAGTAGAATGGGGAAGGGGGTTACCTACAAACAGGACACTATCCAGAAACAAGCCGTGGGCGTTGCGCAACTGAACAAGGACGTGGACGCGGATGAGTGCGACGCTGTTAGTCGAGCGTGCCTGGCGGCTTTTAATGCGTGCGTCTATAAATTTTGCACGCCTTTTGTGGCTGGGCGGATGGTGGGCGGTGCACGTGGCCTGGCCAGTTTTTGAAACTGTCAAATTGTTACTGTTTCTGCTCCTTTGGGGGTAGTCGAGCAGCGTTATTGCTACAGGAATTATTTATTTATTTTTTTCGGTTTGGTTACTTTTTACAAAATCTCAACAGTTTAAAATGCGGCTCAAAATTAGAGCTGCATGTATTAAGAAAATAGATTATAGGTGGGAATATATATCGCCCCCTATCTTCTAAGTTTAACACAGTTTATTCTTTTACCAACTACACTCATTTTGATCGTTTTATTTCAGTTCGTACACAGTACTCGAATGTAGCGTGCATTATCATTCATGTCATTAGCTTTGGGATTCACAAATGATTCCGAATTTTCTCAATTCTTCTCTCAGCAGCTTTTGTTATTTCTGACTATGTATTATGTGAGGACGTAACATCAAGGTTCTTTCATATTGCTGGGTCCTCATCATCCTTTTTCTTGTTAGCTTCTTTGGCTTAAAAGTCACAATCATATAACGTTTTTATATCTCATTTGATGTGTTACGTGGGATCTTGTAAGCTTTCGTGCTCTTGATCGTCCATAGTTTCAACGTCGGTACTTGTTAATTTCTAAACCTAAATCAAGGTTTTTAATGTTTCTGACTCTTAATTATCCATTGTTTCAATATCAAAATCAATCAATGCTGCTGACTATTAGCTTTCAAGAGCTTCAAATTAATCGTCTTTTCTGTTTCTGATTTTTTTACAACATCCTCAACCTTCGGATTATTTTTAAACATTTTTGACTCTTCCCTATGCCCCATGGATTGAACATTCATATATTTAATCGGATTTCTTAATGTTTCTGACTCAATATCATCGTTTACAGATTGAACATGTAGATTTTTTAGTGCTACGTAATTTTCATGGCATTCGTAAGTTTCAACGGGATTGTGTAATATTTTTAGCTTTTCTAACTTCTGAATGCTTAGTAGTTTGTTGGTCTTCATCTTTATCTAAGCATTCTAATTCAAGATTATATACGGATTCAGCATTGGGTTTATTAAATGGTTCTGTATCTTTGTTGTCTCTAAAAGATTCGACATGGACTTTCATTAATATTTTTGTATCCTCATCCACATTGCCATTTTCTATTGTTTTTAATTCATCCTCATCCTTCACAAATAGCTCAACTTTAACATCAGGATTATCTTCTACTTCTAAAAGTTTTTCTTCACCCTTTATGAAGTCAACTTTGGTATTATTTACTATTTGTAAGACTCCTTCATGTTTCTCAAGAGATTCAACATCGACATTGCTGAATGGATCTGTCCCGTCTATATAATCAAGGGATATAAAATGGGAGGACAATGAATGTCTCATGCCATCCTCAGTGAATTTAACATTGGGAATTACTTCCATTTCTAAATTATTTTCATTGTTATTCAAGTACTCAAGATCAGAATTCTTAACTATTTCCGGCTTCTTTTCATTTTCCTTAAGGGATTTAACAGCGGTATTTATTTTTTGCTCCTCTTCATTATCTCTCATTACCCCTTCATTTTCCTCCAAGGATTCATCTTCGGAATTCCTTGAGGATTCTGCCTCTTCAATACTGTCATAATATAATTTGACATCGGCATTTTCTACTGTTATTAGATCCTCTTCATCATCCTGCTTTTCTTCACGAGCATCGAAATTCAGTGCCTCTTCCGACACTTCTTCACCTTCTTCAGAGGATTCAGCTTCGGCATTTATGAATGGTTCCGTCACTTCTTTATAATCATTAATAGATTTAACATAAGTTGTTGACTCTTCATCATCATCTATGTTGTCAACATCAGGTTTACTTATTATTCCAACATCATCAGTTTCTACCGTTGGCTTCACGCCATAATTCTTTTCTTCCACCTTCTTAAGATCGATATTCTGCACAACTTCCGACTCTTCGTTTTCCTTAAAAGATTCAATATCGGAATCCATTGAGGTTTCTGTTTCTACTATATCATTATCAAAAGATTCAACATCGGTGTTCTCTTCTGTTTTTAACTCTTCCTCGTCATCCTCCTTGCTCTTATCTTCATGACTTAATATTATTTCTGATTGATCTTTATCTTCCTCAATGGTTTCAACATCAAAATTCTGTACCTCTACCGTCTCTTTATCTGCATCAAAGAATTCAACATCGGAATTATCTTTCTTCCCGTCATCGTGAGAGTTCTCAGCATCAGAGTTTATTATAATTTCGAAGTTTTCTTCAACTTTATCTACCTCGTCTTCATCTTTATCTTCATCATCTTCACCTTCAACATCTTCATCATCTTCATCATCTTCATCATCTTCATCATCTTCATCATCTTCGTCATCTTCGTCATCTTCGTCATCCTCATCATCCTCTTCCTCCTCATCATCTTCGTCTTCATTTTCAACATCGAAATTCTTTAGGGATTCGATATTATTATCAGAAGTAAAGGATGCAACATTGACACTCTCTACTATTTTGACCTTTTGTTTAATATTTTTTGATATTTTTGAATCGCCTGCATTACCCCGATTTGTTAACGGTTCTGTGTCTTCTTCATCATCAAAGGTGTCGGAAGTCTTTGGTGTTTCTAACTCCTCTTCGTTATCCTTAAAGTCAACATTGTGATGCTTTAATTGTGTCGTTGCTTCTTCATCATTATTTTGGCATCCAACATCAGGATTCTTTAATTCATCTGAATCTTCTTCAGAATCCTCCTCTTCTTTATCATTGCCATCGGAACTCAGTAATGGTTCAGTTATGTCTTTTTCATCTTCAGAGGATCTAGCAGCGAGACTTTCTGACTCTTCATCGTCCTCTACAGTTTCAAGATCGTTCACAGATTCTGATAATTCTGACTCTTCATTATTATCATCGACGCACTCTTCATAATTTTCAGAGTATTCTTCATCGGAATTTTGTACTTTTTCAGATACTTCTTTGTCATCTTCAAAACATTCCACACCCCGATACCTAAATGATTCTGTGCCTTTATCAGCATCGCTATTCGGTAATATTTCGGATCCTCTATTATTATTATGCGAGGGTTTGTTTATTTTTTTTGGTTCATCTTCATTTTTATCTAAATATTCAATATCGGAACCGCATAATGATTTTGTGTTCTCCTTCCTTATTCTAACCTTAGGACTCTTTAGTTTATCTGCCTCTTGTTCAACATCCTCAGAATATACAACGTCGGAGTTCCGTGATAGCTCAGTTTCTTTATCATTAATATCACCATAAGAGTTTTCTTCAATATTCTCATTACTGGGGGCTTTTAATGTTTCAGAGCATTCATCCCTTTCAAAAGTTTCGATATTGGAATTCTTTTCAATATCGGAATCATCTCTATCATCGGAATCGTATTCAGTATTGGAATTGCTTAATGTGTCTTTGCAATTAGGATGCTCTATTATTTCCGAATCCTCGTCATCATCCTCGAAGGATTCTACACCGGGACTACTAAGCGTGTCTGAATCTTCATCATCCTCAAAATATTCATACTCAGAATACCTAAATGACTCCATATCTTCTTTATCCTCAAAGAATTCGTCATGTGCATACTTAAATGAATCTTCAAGGTCATCATCAGAGGTTTCGACATCGAGGTTTATTAGTTGTTCTCGCTCTCCCATCCTTTCGATTTCATTCGATTCCCCTTTGTTTGTCTGTGCAAAGATCGATTTCAGCTTTAGAATGTCTAAAAATTCGAGCCATTCCGTGTATTTAGCATCGTTAGTAGATGTTTGCTTTGACTCCTTTAATGCATAATCAGCTCGCTTGACACAGAAACCCAGCAGGAGGTTTCTTCGTGTAATACATAATGTATAGAATGGGGTTCCCCTGCTGGCATATGCCTTGATCAAGAAATCTTCACTGCTTAGCTCTGATCTATTGGGCTCTGTTGCCGTGACACTGCTATTATGGCTGTTAGTCGTTTTTTGTTTCTCAGGATCATATTCTTGAACCAAGCGCTCGAAATCCCAAATGGTCATCTGGCAGTCATTGCCACCTACCATTAACAGTTTATTATCCAGCGCAAACTTAATGCAGTTAATGGGTGCAGTGTGATGAGACAGGCAGCGAACCAATTCCTCTTTATCAGCATCCCAAATAATAAGAAAGTTATCGTCAGCTCCGGAGGCCAAGTATCGTCCACACATGGAGTAGGCCAGATCATTAATAGTACTTCTGTGACCACTGAAAATGCGTACCTGAACGGCTTTAACAATGTCCCACATGCGCACAGTGCAGTCGGCGGAGCCAGTGGCCAGGTAATGCCTGTTTGGATGGAACTGACAGCAGACAACCTCCGCCAAATGTCCGACAAGTATGCAGACTGACTTCTTGCTATCCTGCGTCCAAATGCGTGCCGTGCGATCATCCGATGCTGTAGCGAAATAATAACCTAACGGTGCATAGCTAACGCTGTAGACAGCCCCACAGTGTCCCGGATAGACGACAACGCAGCTCCAGGAGAGCAGGCACCAACAACGCACAGTGCGATCCTGCGCGCAGCTGAGCAGGAAACGATCATGTGGAGCAAATGTGCATCCGTACACGGCTCCTTGGTGTCCATAGAGTGTGCGTCTTGTTTTTCTTTTGGTCGCGTCCAACATGCTCTCGTCTATGCCGGACATGCTTGTGTCAAGCCTCTTAAGGCACTTGGCCGACTTGATCTGCACCAATTTTGAGGCTGTCAGCGCGAAAACGTGGATTGCGGAGGAGGCGGTGCCAATTGAGAGCATTGTGGTTTTGTTGGAGAATGTGGCACAGATTATAGTCTCAACACTCTCAAGTGCCGTGTATAGATAAGTCGATGGCAGGTTGTTGCGGTTAAGCGGCACCCGGCGTTCCTCGTCGTCTTTATGGCGTTCCAAATCCCAACGCTTTGGAGTGGGAGTATAGAGACGATTGCCTGATGGTAAATGAACGTTTCTCGTGGGAGATGGTTTGTCCTTCTTAAAGCGTCTGCGCCGCATTGGTCGCGGACTGCTCTCTTTATTGTCTTTGATTGTTTCGGGAGTAGCCCAGAATATTTTATCCAAAATAACAGAGCCAATGCGACTATGCTGACGGGGTTCGCCGTTGTTATAGTCAGGATATAGGTCGAAATGCCTTATGAAGGTCATCTGTAGGGAACGACTCCAGGACTCCATGCAGAGCAGCAATACATAGTAAGTCTCTTCAAACATGGAGACTGGAACCTGTGCGTTTTCGTCGCTGATCAACTTTCTAGCCTTATTGGGCATATCACCCGGGGTTTGCAATACCATTAGCTTATCCACACGAGCCATGTATGAATGATCAATATAACGTAGACAGCTCTCCACAAACGCCTTGCCCTTTCGGTACTTCCCGCTGGAAATCATTCGGAGATAGACCACTGCCAACGTTGGATACAGAAGATTGTATATTTCATACTTAAAGCGATTGGGAACTCTATCGATAATCTTGCGAATCTCATGAAAGAGTTGCTCGTAATCGTTTAGCAGATTTGAATAAGGTAGATCCGAATTCGTATGGTCTTCATCATCGTCAGAGTTAAGCTTGTCATCTTCAAATGTGCTATCATCTTCGTAAAAATCTCTGTGACCATCATTTTTCGACGCTTGAGACTTACGTCGCCAAACCGAATCATCGCTGTCCGTGTCCTTAGCTGAACGTGGCGAAAACATATTACTGCCAGGTGAAATGTTGCACTTCTCATCTCTCTCCTTCGGAGTACTTGACATTTTCGTTAATTTCTCTTCGAGGTGTCGTTTTTTCTCTGCGCAACTAACAGAAGAAGATTCTCTGCTTCCTGAATTTCCTGGGCTATTATTATCGCCACTTTGCGTGCGTGAATCAATGTTAATTTTTTGTTCCTCAGCTGATTGGCTTTTTGGAGATGCACTGGATTTGATTGGCGACTCACTTGTTTCCGTCAATTCCACAGGCTTTAAATTGGGAAATATGGGGTCTGTTGCTTGCATCGCCTCTGCGATAAACGAAAGCGGTTCTTGCGAAAGCGGTTGGCTAAATTATATGAGGTTAAATACTAGTTATCTGAGGTACTTATTATAAATTTATATGTGAATCACCTCTTGTGAGTGGAGTTATTCTTTCTAGATGAGGTTTGTTGGTTCAATAATCGTTGCATCAGCTGAACTTTTGATGGTGTTGGAAACTTCGTTGATTTCGAACTCTGATTCGTAGCTTTCGGGGCAGAATCTAAAAGGAAGTTGGTTAAGAATTACGTATGGCATGATATTATGGCTGTGCCTTGTCACAAAAGATCCTCACCAGTAGTGGGCCTAACATCATCCAAATTCACAAGTCCTGCAAGGGCGACCTCCATATTTAAGATATTTGGATTTTTATCACAGTTCGGGGACAAGTGTTTGCGACTTAATTTCTTCACTCTCCCACTAGACTCGCCCTCCTTTTCCAAATTGTCATCAGAATTTTCAAAGGAAATGGGTGAATAAGATGAATGTGATTCGTCATTGGAATCGTCTATCTGTCCAATTTCCGATGATATCGAATCGCTAAATTCGAAATCGGAATTATCGCAACTTTCAGCATTAGATTTGCTGCTTGCCACCGTATCGCTTAATTTTTGTAGGAGTGAGTGTTTCCTATCTTTAAACAGGGCTTTTCGAGGGAGCTTTGCCAAAGCCTCTTCAATATCATCATCGGAACACAGTTCGTCTTTTCTCGATTTTGTTGTCGTTAGTGTTGCCAATAACTCTTCTTCGAAACTGGAAAGCCGTTGAGCTGTTAGTTCTTTATTTTCCATTTCCTCTTTGTCCTCGAAAGCATCATTAGTTCGATTAGTTTTAGGACTGTATTTATTGACCTGTTCGTTCACCGAACTTTGGAATACTTGCATATCATTGAAACAAATGGGTTGTACGATTGTATCTAACTCAACATCTGAATCTGGAGGCTTGAATGAGTTATACTGCTGATTATCAACGTTATTCGGCAGATCAAATGATTCCACAAATTGCATATCGTCGTTGAACATAAATGGGAGTCCAAAAGTATCCCCAATACCCACATCTGACGGTAAGGGCTCTAGACTGCGTTCGGTTTTTGACATCGTAACGTTAGTTAGATCTGACCGAAAGTCCTTGAAGCTACATACTTCAGATTCTTGTGACGACGAGCTTGGTGTGTTCGATGATAACTGTAAACGAATATTTTAATTGTTGCCGATATTGTTCATAGCATATCATATTTTCAGACTGTCATATCCTTGGTGCCTTGGTGCACGCCGTCCAGATACAATATGATTATTTACTTACTGATCTTTCTGTGTCTGCTCTTTCGCCATCACCAATTGGAAATTTCTCTGTTTTTGTTTTCTTTCGCGATTTATTTTCATCTTCGGTAACTGGTCGCTTTTTAGCGCTTTGTTTTTTCATAATTAAAACACCTATTTATAACTCTTGAGCAAAATCTGTATAAATTTACAGAAGAAAAAAAGCAGAAGACTCGAGGCTGTCAAAAATAGTACATCGATTCACACTGCGACTAACTATCTAAAGTAACTGCTTTGGAATGATTACTATCAAAATTACTATCGATTTAAAAATTGTTATGAATGTGTCAAGACTGCAATTTCTACAGTGATACTCAAATCACAATTCCGCTCATCTCTAGATTTAGCACGTAGTTGATTGTTGATAGCCGCGGTCAGTAGATAAAAAAACTCATATGAATAACAGATTTATATTTAAATAGTTCTTAACGTTAGAACGTTTTTTAACGGTATTAAAGAAGCATTGATTAACTGCGTTACATGGTTACATGAGAAATGCTGTACATTAAGTTATGTCATATAATCCAATAAGAAACCCAGCATTTCCCAGTAAACGGCTGCTGCACTTTGAATGTGATTCAGCCCGAATGATGACATGATTTAATTCAATGAAATATTACAGCATCGAAATGCGAAAACTGTGCGCGTTGAGGAAATAGATGCCATATGTAGATACTCGGAGATTGGCAAGGCAGCTGGGGCTTGTCTTTTGGACAGTTTGAAGGCGAAATTATAATGCACAAATGTATTTAATTCTACGAGTACATATGTACATGCAAATGTCAAAACTCAAGGGCTATCATTAGATACGGACAATTAGAAACAAAGCCTCATTATTTGCAGCAGCAACAACAATATCAAAAACAACAACAACAACAACGACAGCATCAGCAGTTGAACCGCAAGCGAATCACTTGAAATGAAATGCAGCCCATAAATAAATCACATCACATTGGACCGCATCTGTTTGGATGGGATCGAGTTTATGCAACTGCAAAATAATCCATTGTAAAGTGTCGAAAAAGTGCAATTGAAATGCAAATCAATGCAAATCGATACTTGAATCATCATCAACAGCAACAGCGATAAATGATTCATGCCCCGCACGCGAGCCACATTCAAATGCAAATGTGAATGCAAAAATTTGCAAGCAAACTCGATTTTGGGTGGGTCTTTTAGGAGCTGAGGCCGGCGGCGAAGGCTACCCGCTGATGTGCGAACAATCAAATAAAAATAAAATGCACCGCACCACAATAAAAACTGCAGTGCAAAATAAACACAACAAACAATGAGATATACACACAAGTACAAAGGTGAACGCGGTGGCAGATTTTTGCACTTCCGGTTAACTGTTGCTAATTCGATTAGAGAGTTAGAAACAAAGTTCTGAAAGGGCAGCCAAAGCAAGCGCAGACGCAACTTATGCAAATGCTGCTATGAGATTCATGTACGAGGTCTGCCTGGCAAGTTTACTCCTTGGGGACAAATAAGTATATAGACAGTCGAGATTCTGTAAATTGAATTAAAGAATTTTTAGTTCGTTAATCGTTTCACACGCGTTGCTCTTTTGTGCTTGTATTGCCAGCACCGACGGCCTCTCACATTCAAATTCAAACTCAATCATATCCTGTCATAAGGCTCAAGCCTCTTTTGTGTGCCCATCAGAACTTGTTTGTGCTTTAGCTTAACCCCTTTCAGCATTGTGCCCTCGCTTCCTGAATTTATCCCAGACATTGTCATGCTAATTGCCGGCCATGAGAAGGCTGAGATTCGAATCTGAGAGTTTTTTTTGCCAGGAGACAGTCGACAGTCAGGTAAGATTGTCGCTGATCACGTTAAATTTGTTCAGGATACGTTTATTCAGTTTGTTCTTATATGTCCTTGCGTGAAGTTCTATGAAACTTTGAAATAGTGCATGTGCTCGAGAACTAAACAAGTATTCGAGTTGTGTTTTATCATAGCTTAACGAAATGTTTATATGAAATACGAAGAAATTTTTTAATTCTGCTTTAACGTTAATAAATTATAGTCTTAAAAAAATGAGCCCAAAATCGTGTTTTCAATACTCAAAAAAACTTAGCGTGTTCTGGTTTTAGAAAAATATCGTATCCACGCCCCCGCAGCCTTAAATATGACAAGCAATAACGCGGCCTCTGGCGCAATTTAACACCAATTACAATATCCGTTACATCTAATTATTGTAAGCGCGCCCACAAGCAAGCCACTTGGCCAGGAAGAAAATTAAAGAAAAACATCCAAGAGAGAAATACAGAAGGAAACCGCAAAAGACAAACCAAAGACCGGCCGTCGCCCGTTGCGCTGGTGGTTGGGCGCAGATTGGTCGCCATTTGTGGTTGCCAGGACATTAACAATGGTAACTACTCAACGAAAACAACAACAGCAAGGACAACATCAAGTCCAAATGGCGCCCATAAAACAACAGAGCAGAACCCAGAAAAGCCATGAAATATGACGATGATGGAACCTGAACCAGGGGGCATCAGAACTGCGGCTGGGACCTCAGTTGTGTAGTTGGTTAGTTGGGTGGGTGTGTTTGTGTGCGAGCGTGGAGTGTGGAGTGTGGAGAAACATTTCTTAATTTTCAACAGTTTACGCTGAAAGCTTTCAGCGCTCAAATGACGCACACTGCTGAGCGTTCGTCCTTAGCCAGTGTCCTGGCCAGGGAGACGATGATCTAACGCCATTATTTCGCTGCCAAACGACAGGCAGTTGTTAATGGGGCTTACCACTTAAGCGCGACGGCATAAAATAAACACGCTGCTACAGTCCTGCCCCCTTCCTCCCACCGATTCTCGTCACGGATGTCCTGGCAAATTAATTAACATAGCGCGCGTTCGCCTGCAGCTTTCCTACGGCATTGCTTGGGGTTTCTTTTCTTTCTGTTTGTTTTTTTTTTTACTTTTTACTTTTCTTGTCTTTTGGCGGTTTTGCTGGCGCTGTTTAATTGTGTGGCACTTCGTGTCCTGTACGCAAGGAAGTCGGCCAGCGGCAGTTTGACAATTAGGAAACGTTTAAAGTTTGCCTAAACTTGAGTTGGGGCGCGGTTTTCTCGGGTTTCGTTGATTACCGGGCGGAGCCCACAAGCTCCGGCAGGACATTGTGCATACGCGGCACGTCTCTACATCCGTTTGACACCTTTGCGACCCGTGGCCAGGAAATGAGCTGCCCCGTACGTGACTGGCTTCAGTAAAACCCATCTATGAAAATATTCGGTTGATTTTTTCGATGCGAAGTTTTGGCAGCATTTCTCAAGAAGTTGCCTGACTTGCAGTTCTCTGGTGTCTGAACACAGCCAAACGAGTTACTCACGAAAAGACATGCCACTTTAAGATATTTCAGCCCACTGTTCCCAATTGTCTCTGATGGCACTGTTTAAAATTTCGAATTTGTGCATTCGCTCAATTTCCTTGAGTCCATAAAGTAATTACCCCCAAACAACTGAAAGATTCGGCATAAATTTGGTGCCGTGGCGGGTAGCCAGGTCCTGCCGGTATAATTAGTGGCCCATTGATGCTGCTACGTGCCAAGCACAACGCCTTGTGGCAAGGACAAGCCTTGAGAATCGCCGAAGCGTCGGCCTTCCATAATTGCAATTAAAATGTGCGCCGGGATGCCGCGCGTGCAGAGCAAACACTTTGAGGCAGTGCGCGAAAAATAAAAACGCAGAAAAACTGACAATCAGAAACATTGTGCAAATTAAAATATAATTAGAGATAAACAAGCCAAAACAAGTGGCAACGAGCTGGCAATTAGTAGAGACGAGGTCGCGTGGACGGTGGCGCCGCCTGTCGGCCAGCGGCAGTTGTACACGCACTTTCCACTGGAAATGTGTGACTGGAAATTAGCGTATCCTGAGGCAGCAGCCATGCCCCTCAACCACCGAGAGGCCTGTGCGTGTGCAAGCGAGTAAGGAATAAACGCACATCGTGAGAGAGCATGTGAGACAGGAAGTCGCTGTCGCTGTCTCTGTCGCTGCGCTGCCGGCGTCGCTGCTACCTGGCAACTAACGAGCCAGTAATTTTGTGAGGCAGCATTAGCTGCCTCAAAGGCCTACGTCGAACTTCTGCGGCAGCTTTTTCAACGTCGCCTTGGCTACTTTAAGCCAACCTCGTCATCGTCTTTCATATTAAGTATACGCCGCGCCTGGCTTATGTGAGCACAAGTCTGGGCAGGGAGGGATTTGGACTGGGAGCACGCACAGGCCAGGGCTTGTGAGGGTCGTTTTTTTTTTTGCTGTTTTGTTGTTGAGGCCACACCTTCCGCAGGGGTGATTGAAACTGAAATTTTCTGCAGGCGCCGTCGACGTAGCTTTTACTTTTGTTTGCTTGGATTTTCGATAGAAAAAAAAGGAAGAACATTTTTGTTGTGTATAAATAAAAATCTACATTGGGTGGGAAACGAAATCTGCTTTATGAAATGTCAAAACTTCAAAGCAAATTTTAAGTTAAATGCAAGAAAATGAGAAAATATACACTTGAGTGCGTATGAAGAAATATTCTCAACTCCGCTGCCAGCAACGCGTGCTGCTGCTCCTTCTTCTTCTGCTTCTTGCTGTTTGTTTTGCGCCAGTTTTCCATTGTCCATTGCACGTTGTTAGGACTTTGTTGTTGTTGTTGTTGTTGTTGGTGCTGTTTGAGCTGTTGTTGATAGCCTTTATTAGTTGTTGGGCCCAAGCTTAGGCGCTTTACATTTTCTTTTCCACTTCCGGTTTGGGAGAAAAAAAATTTGATGCGAGATTTGGAAGCAGGCAGAAGTAGCAGGATTTACCAAGGGAGCGTGTGCGTTGTATAAATTTATTGAAATATTAGAGCAGTTGTTAGCTGGACTTTGGCATACTTCCTGATAAAGGAGGGTAAGCGTATCTTGCTCTAAGTATACTAAAAGTCTCGAATTTTTAGTTAGGTTCAGATTATTAAATACCTACAAAAAACTAGTTTGACTAACATAATTATTTTCTCAATTTGTTATAGCATCCTTACTCAACTTGCGTATCAAAATCTGATTAAATAAACTTAAAATTTCAGATATTTTAGTATATGGTGGCATATAATATAAATATTTTGTAAGGTATTTAAGCGTCGGTTTCACAACAAAAATTTGTCCAGCTCATTTCAGTTTTTCTCGTTTCTTTTGGCTTACATTTCTCTTTTTCGACAGCAGATTTTATTAAAAAATTGTATATTAAATCAATTGCGTGCAGCTTTTGGTTAGGGTGTTGAATGTGCCCATGCATAAAGCGGGTGGGCCCGGAAGCGCCTCACGTTAAATGATATAAATCATATTATGGCTAACAGAAAACAGAGCATTTAGTATGGTTCCTCTGCAATTTAAAACAATTAGACCTATTAAGGCAAGGCAATTAAAACTAATTTAATTGACCCATTATATTGTTAAATAAAAAAGAATCCTTTTGGCCCATTAAGTTGTCAATATTTTGACATATTATGTCAGTTTCTTAGAGCAATAAAAGGAATGTTTTTGGCGTATTGCTTCTCAGTCTCTGGTAAAGGCTTCTATTGTTGACTGTTTTATTGTTTACATTTTCTTACAATGACCAAAACGGCTGTATCCCGGTTTTGTGCGATCGTGAAAGTCATTCGCTTTTGTGCAGGCTTCTGTGGCACAGATGTCTCTGATCCTAACTATCGAATGTGGGCGCTGACTTATGTTGTAATCACCTCCGTTATCTTCTTTTTTGCCTGTACCTTGTATACGATTTATGTGGGCGTGGTATTGAATAACGACTGGACGATAATATTGCAAGCATTTGCCGTGGCTGCTTCAGCGATTCAGGGTTTAACGAAGTTGTTGACCTGTGTGGCAAATGCGTCACTAATGCGTAACATACAGGGCACCTATGAGTCCATTTACAAGGAGTACGAGGGAAAAGACGGGGAATATACAAAATATCTGCACAAGCGCATCAATACCTTCTGGAACCTAATGGTGGCCTTCATATGGGTGTACACGAGTCTCGTGACCTTTATGATCTGCTATCCCTTGTTCCATTTCGTCGCCTACAATCAGAAGCTGATGGTCTTACATTTCCTAGTGCCGGGTATCGATCACAATAGCGACAGCGGACATCTGATGCTGATCACACTGCACATCATGTGCTTGATCTTTGGTGCATTTGGTAACTTTGGTGGCGATATGTACCTCTTTTTGTTTATCATCAATGTGCCGCTACTAAAGGACATATTTAGAGTGAAATTCGAAGAGCTCAACGAGCTGGTCCTGCAGAACGATAAGTATGAGGAGATGCACAGCATATTTTGGGAACTTCTGGCCTGGCACCAAAAGTATGTAAAGTATGTATGTAAAGTCAACATTCACGTCCCCTAAACAATCTCGATATAAGTTTAAATTTTTTAGAATTCTGCACGGAACGAAGAAAGTCTTCAAAACTGTTATGTTCGTCCAGCTTTCAACGGCTTGCGTCAGCATTTTGTGCACCATTTCTTGCATGTTTATGAAGGTCTGGCCCTCAGCTCCCGCCTATTTGATGTATTCGTTTATAGTACTGTACACCTTTTGCGGTCTGGGCACCATAGTGGAGAACACGGTAAGGATGTGTTAGCTGAAATCAGCTGAAAATTATCAAAAACTCCTCTATAGAATGAACACTTTACAAATGAAATCTACTCGACTTTGTTGTGGTACGAGCTGCCGGTTAAAGAGCAAAAGATCGTGATTCTCATGCTAGCCAAGTCGCAGAATGAACTGGTTCTAACTGCAGCTGATGTACTCCCACTTTCGATGGCTACTGCCCTGCAGTTAACCAAGGGTATATATAGTTTTAGCATGATGCTAATTACCTACTTGTAGAACGGGAAGCAAAAAAAATTTGATTTTCACATAAAGCTTACAGCTCTTTGTATAATAAATAAATATCTGTTTTATATATCATCAGAAAAGTTTAATAAATTTGACTTGTTTTTTTTTCCTCCAAAATAATTTTGATGGCGACATGTATTTGATCATCTTTGTCGTAATAATGATTGTTTTTATAATCTTAAATATCGCATTCAGTGCTCAAGTGAGCCCTTGGCGAGCGATCTCATATCTGATTCAGTATTAATACTAAGGATTGTGAAACATAGTATTTAAATTATTCCTTCTTCAAGGACAACTTGTCGCATATTCCCTAAATTGATTGCCCATATACACGCCACTATCCGAGCAGTGTTTTCTCCCTCTCCGTGGACAATATTTTGCATTCCATGTCAGCACAATGAGCTGCAGCTGATGCTGGATGTCTACAGTATGGCCAATCGACTGTCAGCTTACATGGAGCATGGATGTGACGGGGAGTGAGGCAGTGCTGCTCTGCTGATTAATTTCAGCTTTTTGTCTAATGAACTTGCCCGCAAGAATTTAATAAACATCGGTCTGCAGCTTTATTGGCCACAAAAAAATGACGGACGTCTGCCACAAAGTGTATAAAGTGAAATATAAAAACTGTGTAAAGACTCGTCTTCCAGATACCGCGTGCTTAATATATCCACTTCCATTTGGTTTATCGCATGACACAAGAATATTGTGGCAAAAGTCAAATTTGTATCCGTTAATTTTGTTTTTAACTCAATTTTTTCTCTTTTGAGAAGTTGAGTTAAAGCTGAGAATAAAGAGAACTACTTGCATTTTATGTAAACGTGAAAATCAAAAGGACACATTTATAATACCCAACATCAGCTGTGGCCACGGGGTATAAAATGAACAAGCAAAGAAAAATTCATCTCTGGTAAGTTGTAAAAATTGTCTTTTAATGCCACGAAAATCCAGCAGATTGCCACGTAGTGCTAATAAAATAAAGTTATGCCCAGGCATAAAAAATCTACTGAAAATTGTGAGAAATAGTGTGCGCTGCGTTTTTATTTTCATTTTTCTTTACTTAGAAAAAAAAATGGCGTAGAAAATTGTGTGCGCGCGCAAGTTGCCCCGCGCTGGGGCGCTAAACGCATCATTAATCAAATGTCCGGCGCCTAAGCACCGTTATTCATCATTGCCTCGGGATAAGGCGACCCCAAAGCTGTTCAAGCGCCGCCATATTTGTTCCTTCTGCGCGTATTTTTGTGGAGAAAAGTTGGAAAATTTCCACTTTTGATGAGGCATATTAAACGATATACACACTCTTCGGAGGTGTTCGACTTGTGGCCGGAAAAAGGTATCAAGAATTTTAAAAACTGGCGGAGAACATTTTTATTACAATCTTTCAGCTCTGGAATTCAATTAATTTTAAAGGTATTTCCACAACAATGCCATTTTCTATTATTTAATTTGAAATATTTTTCCTTTTTTTTATTTTTCTTTAGCTATTATTTACTGCCAATATTATTGCACAAATGATTATGTATTATTATTATTATGTATAAAACTGCTGTACAGATTAATGTAGCTCTCATAAAATGCGCTGCAACCCCATAAATTGCCCATCTGAAAAGAGCTCGAAGAAAATCCAAGGAGCTACACGTGTGTCTGGAGCATTAAGCCGAAGAAAAATCATCAAAAAAATATAAGAATTTTAGCCACCCTAATGGCCCATATCAATTTGGCTCAAACGCATGCTGCGGCTGATGGTTTTCTTCTTTTTTTGACCATTTTATCCGTTTTTTTTTTGTCAAGAATGTGGCCACTTTTAATGTACTAGACGACATTTGGAAAACGGCAACTTGTTTTTGTGGCCTGCCCGTAAATTTTTTGCATCATAAATCAGGCTTATATTTCAGTAAATCATCAAACATGCGACAACTTTTAGGGGCCACTGTTTACGCTCTTCCAATGCTGACTGCTAATGCTGCTAATGGAGTTTTTACATTAGAGATTGCTGCGCGTTGACTGTAGCTGATGTTTTTTTTATTTTAACATTATTTTTTGTCGTGTTCGGTTATCACAACAACATCAAATGTTGCTTGAACACCCCTTCAAGTGTCAGTTACATATTGTCGAGACAACAGAATGCTTCACTCTGCATTCAATCGGGAAAACGGGTCCCAAAAGGAACAAAAAATGAAATAATGCTCGTAAAAAGGTTGCTAACAAAACGAAAATGTTTCAGGAAAAAATTTGCATACGCAGCAGCCGATGAGGCAGCAGCTGAGCAGGATGCGGCTGCGGATGCGGTCCTTTTGCTATTCGAGTTGTTGTTGTCGTAATTTTTTGTCTATGCAGGAAGTGTGTGCACATTTGAAATGTTGTTGAAACTCAGGGAAAACAACGTCAAAGAAATGGCTACAAAAATGCGGCTAAACTTTGCCAGTCATTCGACAGCTGTCCAGCCAAAAAACGAAAAAAATCAAAAACCAAAAAAAAGTTCGACTTTCAACCCAACCTCCCCTTAACTTGGGTATACATATATATATATATATATATTTTTTTTTTTTCGTAAATAAAATAGGAATCATATGCAAATTTAAATTGAGTTTTCGATTAACCCTAAAATTCCAGTCGAACCCAACGAACAGCAAAATCATATTTAGTTACACTTCGGCAGGGTCTTGGCTCTCATTCGGTATTCGTTTTCACATCACGTCGACGTGTTTAAGTACGCATCATTTGCTGTTTGTTGTAATTTAATTGGTTTGCTTTTTGGCAGGTAACTTGCACCAGCCCCAGCATCTGCCCAGCCTCTTGCTCAACCGCTGAGCGGCTGCCAATGAGGCAACTAATTTATGCGCTTCTGAGACGCACGGCAGCCAAGGGGTTGAAGATTCGTGCATTACTTTGCGCACGTGCAGCCTACTCAAGAAGCTGCTTTATTAATTATTATTCTAATTAATAGGTAGAAGCAGACGATGTGACGGTGAAAAAAAATAAGACTAAAAAGCAGCCTAGCAGTCTGGCAATTTGCATATGAGTGACACAACAGGACATTTGCTTCCTGTCACGCAGGCTGCTGGCAGCCTCTGACAAAGGCCAAGGCGGCGATGAGACCCAAGTCAGGGCACGTTTTCTGAGAGTGGCTGCCTCCAGGAGCAGCAGGCCTCATGCATTATGCAAGCGAAGCCAAAGACGCGTGAGAAACTCCCAGGACGCTAATTGTCACGGCTGCCTACGGCTGATCTATGTCCGCAGCTGCTACAATCTGATGCCCAAACAGTTCGCCAAGAACCCAACTATAAGCTAATTATCAATGGAGCTCAACAGGTTGCAATATTAGCAAAAACGCCCCGACAATTTAACAAATCCACATTATCCCCTCGCTAAGGGAAAGGCAACAACCCTCGTTTGTAGCTGTTTGCCAATCGTTTATCGATCTCTTGCAGTTTTGCCAAATTGACAGCGTCAAATGTCAAAGCAATTAAGTCACAAAGTCGAACTGAGGGTCGTAATCCCTGTGTGTGTGTGTGTGAGTGTTTGTCTTTTGTGTCATTTACATTGTCATGTTTGCTAATTCCCTTTGTTGTGTGTTGCCTTTTTGCGCCTATTTTCGCAATTTCACTTTCACCGCAAGCCGCTTTCTTTTGTTAGCGGCCATCGAGGGTTGGCCTCTGAATAAAGTGTGCCAATTTTGGGTGTGCTAATTATGAAGTGCTTATGACAGCCACTGAAAGTCAGTTCAGGTTTTGTTTGTGTGGTGTTAAATTAGAAAACAATACGCATCTAGGGTTCTCTTCGAAAGGGAGGTTGCACTTAAATAGGCTTAACATTATTTAAATGTCTAACTTTTTACTTCTCTTGTACATTTGTAGAAGGCAAGCTGCAATAACATTTACTATATGTCTGTTCACATTATTGTTGCTTAGCTTCAATGAAATTCTTACAAATTCAGCACAAAACAATTTCGTTTATGGCATTTTTTCTTTTTTTTTTTTTTGGTACCAACTCCTCTGCCTTGGCCAGCAGCTACTCGGCCCACTTGTGGGGCGGCGGCTAAACGAAATTGGTTTTTAAAAATATTTCACATTTCAATTTTTCGCTTTCACTTTCCCCTAACCGCTACCCGCCTACCAGGATTGTGTAGGCCACGCCAGCTACCTTCGTGCAAGGTATGGGTGCGCATTATAATAAAAGCGACTGCCACTGTCAGTATCCTGCGTGCTGTATCCAGTGTCCTGTGAGAGCCTTGCAGGTTCGCAAACACGGCGTTGGGCCGGCCAAGCGATTTGGCTCTTACTGTCTCCACAAATAACAATCAAAATTTCCTGGCGTTGCTTTGGCAGCCGCTTCGTAATCTTGGAGCAGAGGATAAGCGAGGCTGTTGGCCTGGAAATTGCCATGCCGGTTGCCAGTGCCTACAGCCCTGCAGAAATTACAGGTGCCTAATGCAAATTTGTGTGTGGCATATTTTGTGGCTGATGTTTGTAAATTCAAATAAAAATAATTCGAAATTTTTTGTGCCACGTTTGCAGAAATCAATTTTTTGTTGCTATATACAACTAACCAAAAAAATAAAAAAAAGAGAAAGTCGCTGTCTGATGCTGATTCGATTTGTCTCAGTCTCAGTCGCAGTCTTCTGGCTGATTGTCATCATTCAGGCTGAAAAACAGATTTGGCTCCAATCAACGTGCACTTAATTTCGTTTATTTGATTGGATTTGTGTTTACATGGCTGCCTAAGCAGAGACGCACACACACACAACCCAAATTCAAATTCAAATTCGTTTTGAGTTTTTTGGTCGCTGCGGCAAATTAGAAAATCAAATCAGTTGCCCACTTGCTCTCTGCGTTTATGCAACAAAATTTATGAATATTGAAAAATGTAATAGAAATATTTGCAAAAAGTCTCGAGCAGCCCCACAACCAGCTACCCTCAAGCTCAGAGTCTCAAACATGCCAAAAAAAAAAAATAACATGGCCACGGAAGTTGTGCGCACATTTTTTTTCGAC